CCTGAGCTTCTCTGATTTATTAGCAGCCTTTTCCAATGGATCCCACTCAACTGATTCCTGCCCTGCATAAGGGGCAATCACCACACTGCCTGCTCTTGGCCAAAAACCCCCACTGTCACTCCCAGCCCGTGCGTGGCCACAAGTCTGGCATGGCTGCAAGCCAGGTTGGAGTGAAAACGCTGCATTATGATGCCTGGGAGTGGGGTGCAAGCATCTCCATCCCCACTGAGGATGGTGCTTCTGCATCCCACACTGGTTGTAAACAGGACTCTTGTGCCACTCCGGTCCCTGCAAGATGGGATGCTCCTGTAATCTTGGAAACTGTGAAGGATCAGAGAAGGTTTAGTGTGACCAGAGGGTAGCCTGGAGCTCTCCTGGTCGGGGGCCAGGGGCTCCTGCGCTCGCCGCTTGCATGCTCACCACCCTGCTGAGGGCAACCCCGCTGGGGTCTCTTGGATCTCCCCTCGCTGCAGAGCCTTGCACCCACAGGGGCTTCCAACTGGAGACATTTCTGGAGGGCATGAATCAGCTTTTCACAGCTTGTTAAAAATCTTGATCCTACCTCTTGTTTTCATGCCTTTCAAATCAGGAAATGAGTTTTACAACTTTTCCAGTGGGGCACAGCTGGTGGCCAGGGTCGTAAAGCTGAACTTTATAAATATCTCTTTTTGGGATCAGGAGAAGAGCATTAAAGAGGCAGAGAGAGAGAGAGAGAAGGGAAAGGAGCAAAGGCAATAGAGAAGCAAGGCAACCTCAGTGAAGAAGCCCAGCACAACACCAGCCATGGCCATGCAAGTGCAGAAGATGGGGTACACTTGGGGCAGGCTTTGCCTGCTGCTCTCCCTCCTCTTCCAGCTGCCGGGCTCTCAGGCCAAATGCTACTTCCAGGCTAAAGGTAAGTGGGGAGGTGAGCCGGGAAGATGCCAATGGGAAGAGGAGGCCTCGGCTTTCCCCAGGGCTCTGCCCTGTGCACCTGCAAAGCGCGGAAGGGACTGTGCTGAGCTCAGGAGTGCAATCGTGGGCCAGTGATGAGTGGAAGGAGCAGTCTATAAACCACAGAACAGCTCCCCAGGGCTCTGGCTGAGAAACAGCTCATTGGGCCATGAAGAGCTCCTGGCAGGAGCTTGGCTGGGGCCGAGCATGCAGGACTACCAGCAAAGGGAGGAGGGCTGCCCATCTTTCCTCTGCTGCCTCCTTCCAGGGCTGCAGAGATGCTCGAACCCCAAAGTGTGCTGGATATGCCCTCTCCAGGGAAGCAAGAGGCACTTGTCTCTACTCCAGGCCCCCAGGGCAGTGGGGAGAGCTACAGACCATGGCCAGCAGAGGATGGATGGACAGCTCATACCTGCAGGGTAGTGGAGAGGCCATGGGGTGGATGGGACGTCACGATGTTTCCCCTGTCTCCTCTTTGAGGGCAGAGGGGTGCCAAGGAGGCTCCCACAAGCCTTGCTGCAGGCCCATGGGTGTTCATGCCACCATTTCTTTTGCAGCTCCCTGCGAGTACGAGGGGAAGCAGTTCTCCCTTGGGGAGTCATGGCTGAGCCCCAACTGCCTCCTCTGCACCTGCCTGCACCCCATTGGCGTGGGCTGCTGCGAGACGTGAGTGAGGGGCCGAGGGGCGCTGGGGGTGGGCTACTGCTGGCCATGCTGCCCTGCCATGGCACCTCCACGACCACGGCGGGGAGGAGGTCGTGTGGGTCTGGTGGCTGCAAACGCAGCAGAACAAGTGTCAGACCCCTGGGGGGCTGCAGGGTGCCAGGCCCTGGGGCACAAGGGGCAGAGATGGGCAGGAGCCCACCGGGGTGCTGAGGGTGGCGGGATGAGTTGAGGAGACAAAAGTGGGGGGAGCCAGGAGTGTCTCAGCACGGCGA